GTTAACCCGGGTTAGCCGATCTAACCGAAACAATACGGTTAAACCGATTGTATCCGGGTAAGTTAACTCGGTTAACCAATTAAGAATTTTTTACCCGATTCAGATCATTAGCTCAGATTACATGTTTAATAACTAATTTTCTTCTTTCTTATAACATATTCAGCTATTTTAATGATTCTTTATGAGAATAAAGAATTACGCACGTAAAAATTCATTTTTATTAGCTTATCTGTTTACGTACATCAGAAAAATTTGCTATGCTCATTACATTCTTGCAATTACGGTCAAGCAAAAGCAAAATATTGAAAAACAAAGACATATCAGTATAAACAACCTGAAATTATTTCAATATTACACATGTTTTGAAAGGACATTTGTTTTAAATATTGAATAAATGAGTTATTGAACAGTAATACGTTTTGTTGTAGTGCTTTCAACACTTGGTAACTAATTTTTAGAAATATTTTAACATTAAATGATTATAAAAAATCAATAAAAATTTTTGATACAAATTATGGCTAAAGAAAAGAAAAAATTTTCCATACTCTAATTTCAAGAATTCCATTCTCAAATTTTGTCATAGCCTTCTCAGTATCTACCTTGATAGGAAAAGGAATGCTGCGCTATTAAAAGTAAAGATGAAATTAATATAATTATTTTAATTGTAAAGATATATGAATCTCAATGGTACACACATTAAACCAACCAAATCAGCGTTCTTGTTGCCATACAGTTCCTGTATTATAAGCCTCGTGTACTTTATCTTCTCCTTTGATGATTAATTTGTCCCCACGAACATCCACTATCCATTAAAAAAATTTTATTTTAAAAAAAAAAATTCATGATAAAAAAATATATGTAAGTTAAAAAAAAATAAAAAAATAAAATTAAAAAATTAAAAAAATAGGAGAATTAAAATACCGCAAACATTATCTTTGGGAACTCCAGGAAGTTCCACTATATTAAAATTATTATTATTATATTTAGATCGTGTCGAAATACTAACTATGAATAATCAACTCGTTATCAAGTTCAAGCACTGTATAAAAAAATAAATGTATAGGGATCAAGGAACCCAGTGATATCTTTGTGATAATCACTTCACATGATTAAGTGTTCGGCCTACGTTAGGGTTAGTGTTAGGGTTTGATGATAGGTTAGTTTAGGCTAATTTGTTTAGTGCTAGTACATTAGGGTTAGTGTTAGGGTTAGTTAATAGGTTAGTTTAGGCTAATTTGTTTAGTGCTAGTAAACAAATGACGTAGTTGCATGATTTCATGTGATGTGATTAT